TCCCAGTGGTAAGTATGTTTTCTAGCGCTTAGAAACTCTCAAAAATGTTGACGGAATAAGCAAGTCTTTGGTATGTATGTAAACGTGAGTGTTACTAAATAACCAGTGTGTTTCCCATCAGATGTAGAAAGATCTTTTCCAATGAGAGCTGTTTCTAAAATATTCTACTCTGCTCTAACCTTCTGTCCAATCCTGAGTCCTATACCATAATGTTTGTACCTCCTGAACAGGAGTGGGGGGGATATTTTGATCATTCTACTTCAATGTAAGCCCCAAGTAAGTTTAGTTTGACTCACAGCTGCTTCCCTGTTCTAGGTGGACAAGGGTTTGATGTTCAGTAAGGCTCAATAAAGAGCTGGTAAGAATGGCTTCTAACTCTAAGCACAAAGCTAAGCCCTTAGCGAGTTTCTATCGGATAGGTAAACTGCCAAACAAGGCAAACACTTTCCCCTTCTACTGTCCTTTTCTACTATCTTCAACAAGAGCAGTGTAGTAACCTGAGGAGGTGGGCGGGCTTTGAAGTCGAGCAGTCTGGGTTTGAATCTGACTCTTTTCCTTACTAGATGCATGGCCTGAAGTGAACGCTGAACATCTATGTGTTCCATTAACTCACATGGAAAATGAGGATAGGATTTTTTCCAATAGGATTTGCAGTTCATTTGAAGTAAACATTAAATGCTTAGTATGGTGCCTGGCATAGCAATTACTGCTATATTGTTATAACCCTGTCAGTCTCAACTCTCAGTGGCTCCGTTGTAGCTATAGCATAGAGTCTACTAAACTCAAATCCCAGATGGACGAGGTGAGGTGGCTTACCTGTAACCTAATCAATCTAATCAATCTAGAGGCTGAGTCAGGAGGACCTTGGGTTCAAGGCCAGCTGGGGCCACTTAGCAAGTCCCTGTTTCAAATAAATAAATGAAGAAATAAAGCTTCTGTCTCCTCAGTTTGGGCCCAGTGTCCCTCTCTTTCTAGCCTCCTCTTCCTATGCTCTCATGCTAACTCCCTTCACCAGCTTCTCTGTACTCCGGCTCTTCTAAGCGCTGCATCTCCGCTAACTTGTTTGCCTTCTCTAGGATTCCTGCGAGCTAGGACTTCTTGCCCAGATTTACCTAATGATGAGACCAAGGCTCAGCAAGGAGAAAACACTTTCCCCGGGACACACAGGAAAGCTGGGTTCCATCCATGTTCTTATTCACCCCCCTCTGAAACCCTAACTGCAAAAGGCTCCACCTGTCAGGCAGCGTGGGAGTTAGAAGTGCAGATCCAAGACCGACCGAATCTCAACCCGTATTCCAACCAGATACTCCTTGCCTCTGTGATCATTGGACATGCTGAAGTCTTTGAGCATCACTATAAATCACTGCCTGTCAGTCAAAGTGTGACCTTGTTTAATCCCCAGGTCAAGAAAGGTCAGCACCATTACCCTGTTCCATGCAGGGCAGGCCTCTCTTTAATGCTGCAGCTCTCCTTAACAATTACAGCCTCTCTTCCAACACGTCCCTTTGGTTGGAGCATGAAATTTCCTACTGCGCTCTTTTTCCTCCAAACCTTACCTTTTGTATTTCTTCCCGTCCTTTGCTTTTTGTCATTACGGACTTATATGAATGTTATCAGTAACAACCATTCCATAGACTCAACATTATGTTGTCGTGAAATTTCTTCCATTCTGGGCTGGAGAGATGGCTCAGTGGTTAAGAGCACTGATTGCTCTTCCAGAGGACAGAGGACAGGCACATGGCAGTTCATAACTATCTGTAACTCCATTAACAAGGGGTCCAATACCCTTTCCTGACCTCCATAGGCATGCATGCACATGGTACACAGACATACAAGCAGGCAAAAATACCCGTAGCCACAAAGTAATAATATAATTTTACAAATATTTTTTAAGAAATTTCCCGTGACAAATAAATTAGCTATTACTTCAAAGTTTAGGTTCAGACAAGTTCTTATGACAGGGTAGATGGTAGTCAGATTCTCTGCCTAAGTATTACAGAAATGGGCTATAGCCTGTTGCTAGTGTTACCGTCTGAAATCTCTTGAGCTGGGCCTCTGCCATCCCTAAACCTCTCAGCCCTCTTGTCTTCCAGGCTCTTACTAGAACAGACCACTGAACTCTGCTTACAGCATTCAATTGCTTTTCTAGCCAAAGTTGACAAGTCTTCCACATTCCTCCAAAAATTAACATGGCCAGGTTCTTGGCAGCCACCGCCCACTTTCCGCATTACTTACTTTCCTGTCTGTTTGATAAAATGCCGTGACACAGACAATTTACAGGAAAAAAAAAAAGAGTTTATTTTCTGTTTCAGGTATTCAGTTAAAGGTTCCGAGGGACAAGAATCCACTGTGGCAGGGATATGGGGCAGCAACTAGCAGGTCTGGCAGCCTGAGCAGGAAGCTGAGAGATCTCATCTCAGCCACCACCACAGAGCAGAGAGAGCCAACTGGAGGTAGGGAGAGGCTCTTAATTCTCAAAGTCCACCCACAGGAATATACTTCCTCCAGCAAGGCTCTATGTGTGCTTAGACTGAGATGTCCCCCAGAGCCTTGGACACTTGAAGACTTTGTCCTCAGTTGATAGGGAGGCTTAGGAGGTGTGGCCTTGCTGGAGGAAATATGCCACTGGGGCAAGCTTTGAGAATTTAGACTGCCATCATTTTTAGCTTGCTTTCTGTTTCACATTTGCAGTTAAAGATATGAGCCCTCGGCTTCCCGCTGCTGCTGCCACGCCTTTGCTCTGCCTCACGGTCACTCACCTCTGGAACCACAAGTTTCAAATAAACTCTTCTATAAGTTGTCTTGGACATGGTGTCCTTTGTTGCAGCAATAGGAAGGTAACGATAGATCATACCTCCTAAAGGTTCTATAGCCTCCCTAAACAGTGCCACCGACTGAGAACCAAGCATTTGAATATTTATATATAGGGGGCATTTCTCATTCAAACAACCACAGAAGTCCAAGATTTGCCTTCAATTCATAACAATCTTCCTGCCTCAGCAAGTACTGAAAACACAGACATAAGCCACCATGCCCAGATCTCTGGTTCATTCTCTTAGGAAATATACACTGAGCTTGGCATGGTGGCATATGCCTATAACCCTAACATCTGGGAGGTAGAGGCAGGAGAATCAGGAATTTAAGGCAAGTCTCTTCTACCTACAATGCATTTGAGACCCTGTGCTATCTGAGACTCTGTCTCAAAAAAGAAAAAAAATGAAATAAAACACTGAGTATGAATTGTGCCAGGTGCACAGTAAGCACTGAGTAAATGTTTATTGAATCAGTTTTTTCTTCGAGCATGTGACTGCTTTTTGTGGGGCTGGTGGTTTGCTTTTTGAAACAGGGTCTTATTACATTGCCCAGGCTGACTTCTAACTCACCACCCTCCTACCTCAACTTCTCCGGTGCTGGGATGGCAGTGTATGGCACCACACCTGGCTTGACTGCATTTATTAAAGCAATTTGGCACACTCAGGTTGTCTTCGTTCAGTTGTATTATTCTCAACTGTCTGTCCCTTCCTTTCACTGCCTCAAGCTCCTCTGTATTCTCTAAGCATAGGGTCTGGCATCTCACAGGGCCTCCAAAGCAAAGCAAATGCTGTCCCAGCTAAAAGTAGACTATGACTATAGTACTTTTATAGTGGGGTGTTACCAGAATTAAAGCCTTCTGATTGTCAAGAGTGGAGAGGAACAAGTGAGGTGACAGCCACCTTTGCTGCTCACCATCCCTGATCTTAGACAGTGACTATTGTCAAAAACTCTGCAATCTATTTTTTAATAAAATCTATTTTTAATTAAAAAATTATTTTACATGTATGGGTGTTTTTCCTGCATTTATGTCTGTGCATGACCTGCATACCTAGCGCCCACAGAGGCCAAAAGAGGGTGTCAGATCCCCTGGGACTGGGGTTATTGACAGTTGGGTGCCACTGTGTAGGTGCTGGAAATTAAACCCAGGTCCTCTGGGAGAGCATCCAGGGCACTTATCTCTCTAGCCCCTGAAGACAATCTAGTCACCCCCTTTCTCCCCAGACCATCAGTGGAGCTGTGGGATGTAGATCAATGAAAGCCCTTGCCTAGCTTGGCAAAGTACTGAATTTTATCTCAAGTACAGAGAAGGGAGTGAGGGGAGAGAGAAGACAGAGTCAGAGACAGAGAGACATAGAGACACAGAGACACAGACAGAGAGAGATGGAGGGAGGGAGAGCAAGGGAGTCCTTGACCTCCTCACACACACATCCCCCCAGGTTAAAACCAGGCCCCCAACAACCCGGGTCCTTTCACAGGAACAGAAAGCGCAAGGGAGGCCACATGTAGGAGAGGGACCTCCTAGACTGCAGAGAGCCTAGTCGTTCCCCAGCTTAACCTCCCTTTTCTCCGGAGATATAGAAAAGCATTTATTTCTAGGCCTCAATTTCCTCGTTTGTGAAATGAGGGGGTTGGATTCATTTCTAAAGCTCCTTCCAGCTCCGAGACGCTGTGCTACAAAATCAGAGAAATGTGAACCTTTGGTTGCTATGATCTGAAAATATTTTGAGTGTGGAGAATCAAATTGTACAGCAGCACACGAACAAAATAATATGTTAATGACTAAGAAGATTGTATTTAATCCAATGGGAAACAGCAGAGCCTCTGGTGGTGCTGTGCACGCGTGTGTCTGTGCTCAGCTTCCTTCCTTGAGCTCAAACATATATTTTGAATCGCTAATATAGTAATCAGGCCTCTGGCAGCCTATCAGGTCCAAACACACGCACACACCACTTCAAATTAAAATGAGGGGTAAATTCACTGCTGCCTGCTTACATCTTTTTTGTTTGGGTGATTCTTTTAGAAGAAAAATTTTGTAGTGACGGTGTTGAACTGACAGCCCTTGGAGGCCTCTGGTCTCAGAACTGGGACGTGTGGGCGGAGGAATAGGGATTTCATTAGCATCTTTCCTTTCCCACACCAACTGCCCCCTACACAGTCGACACGATCTCACCCAATAGCGTACGCACCCGAACCCTGAAGGCCGGAGGGGTCAGATTGCTAAACCCCGCAGGCATCCGGGCCAGAACGTGTGCTCTGGGCCCTGCCTGAGGAAAGATGAGCTCGAACCAGCGGAACTGAGTCCGGAGGGTGCTGGCTGCGTAAAGGGTCAAGTCGCAGACCTTTCTTGCACCAAGGTGTCCTGGCTGGGAAGTGGGCGTGGCTCGCACGTGGCTCCGACTGCGGCCCGGCTCCAAGTTCACTTCCACTCAGGGGCTGGTGTCCCAACCAAGCTAGGTAGGCCAGAATCGCACGGCGTCGACTGGGTTGCCCGGAGGTCCCCGCAAGTCTAACAGAGGCGGCGGGCCCTCTCCGCCCGACGGCCGCGCCCGCACCGGGGCCCGCGCCGATT